CATGAAGGTTGTTTGAAAACATAACATTTATGATCCGTCCGATATTTCTTTAACTCGCTTAGAATGACGGACTAAGATACTCTTTAAATAGTCTGCTCTTCATTTCCCTGAACATTTTTCTAACTATCGTTATTGTGAATACATTTAAAGTGCCAAAGAACTGCGAATGGAGTACTGATCTTCGAAAGTTAGTTTTAAAACATCATATGGATGGAGATTCAATTGGCACAATAGCAACAAAAGTTTTATTAGGTCGTTCTACGATTCATTACATTTTCAAAAAATGGCATCAAACTAAACTGGCTTAGTAATCAATCGTCAGGGCAGAGGACGTAAACGTAATACGACAAGTCGTGTTGATCGAATTATTCATCGCAAAATCATCTCAAATCGATGAAAGAGTGCAGCTAATGTGGCCATTGAACTCAAAAATGAATGTGGAATTTCTATTATTCCTCAAACTATTAGAAATCGAATGCACGAAGCGGGGTACAGAGGGTATATCGCTCGGAAAAAACCACTTATAAAGGACTCAAATCGTTGGAAACGTATGCTGTGGGTTCGTCAACATTGGCTGAAGCCAAAACAATTTTGGGATTCTATTCTTTGGTCTGATGAGAGTAAGTTTAATCTATTCGGCTCTAATGGGCGCCAGATAGTTTGGCGACAAACAAATGAATCTATGAAAAGAGAATGTCTTAAACCTACAGTCAAATGTGGTGGAGGATCCGTGATGGTATGGGACTGTATGGCGGCTAGTGGCGTTGGAAATTTGGTACGGGTGGATGGAACTATGAATAGAGAACAAAATGAAAAAATTCTGACCGAAAATGTGAAACAATCAGCAAAGATACTCAAATGCAATCATTTATTTTCCAGCAAGATAATGACCCGAAACACGGCTAAAACAATAAGTCAATGGTTCGTAAAAAATCAAATCAATACTCTCAAATGGCCCGCACAATCGCCCGACCTAAATCCTATCGAACACGCTTGGGATGAGTTGGAGCGTCGCATGAAGCGCCATTCACCGAAAAACAAGGAGGAATTATGGATGATTTTGAAAAAAGAATGGAAAGGTATTGGACGAGATGTAACATCAAGATTGGTGAACTCAATGTCGAAACGATTTCAAGAAGTTATGAAACATCGTGGTGGACCAATGCGTTATTAAATATTTTCTTTTAATCTGTAAATTTTTTTTATCAGACTTTGTAAATAAAATAAATATTTTATATATAGACGTATCGAAATAAAGATAATGATATCGAATGAATTTCTTTCTATACATGACATACGATTCATAACAGAACGAAAGAATTTGTTTTTTTTCTGCACGAGAATATGTGTTTAAAAAGGCAAGGTCTAATCGTCTCGAAGGAATGCACTTATCGTTTATTGAAGTACATCATTTTGTAGAGAATTTAATTCTCTACAAGAGTATGTCCTTCAAAAAATTATTTGATCGTTTTTTACGATCGAAAAAACAAGATTGATGAAAGGCCTGCGAAAGAGCTCAAATGTAATTAGCTCTAATTAGTGTTATTTTCAATTAGATTTTAAAAGTAAATAGTATGGTTCGATTCAGCTATTTTTTCTCTATCGAATGATGTATGTTGAGTCAAGGGTTCATTTAGCCAAAACTAAAATATGTATGATTTTCCGGAAAACCGATAGTGACCTAGGTATTTCAAGATTTCGGAGGTTCCATCGATATTTTTCATTTGAAAAGTACACCAGCGTGTAGAAAACAATTTTTTCTATCGAATGAGATGTTATTCAGAATATTCTGGTTTCAAATTAAGACGCTATGAAACGAATAATAAAAGTGTCCGAATAATTTTTTTTGCGCAGAAATCAATTGGTTTGTTGAAAATCTTTCAAAATTCATAAAATATCTTTTAAAAAAAAAACTTTTTTCTTTAATAATGAACTACAGATTCCGAGCTATCAAATGGTATGATGCAAGTCAAGAAAATATTCTTCCTTCATTCTGGAATTTGCTTTACAAGAATAGTATCACAAGTGTCCAAATCATTTTTTTACATACTGTATATATATATATAGTTATTTTTACATGAATACTTGTCTTTGAAGTAAAGCTCCATTAACCTGTGCTTAGAAATTAACCAATATCGGCATCACATATCGTACTTATTAAAACTGTAATAATATGTGTGTTCTCATTCAATGCTGAAAAGTAATCAAACTCTTAAAGGGCAAATTAATGATTATATGTGAATTGAGCTCTTGCATTTTTCTCAACAAAAAAACTTACGATTGGTTTATGCCTTTAGGTAAAGCTACAGCAGGCTATGAAAATAATTGCTGTGAATAAATTACACTTGTTGATGATTTTCTTTCGCAAACAAGGGACATTAATGATTGAATGACGGAGAATTTTGTGAATGGTAAGCCGTTTTTGTTTAAAAGATAAGTTAACTCATCGAGTTTTTGTTTTGTCAATGATATTCTTCCAATAGTAGATGCAATGCTTATCTTCGAAGAAAATGGTACGTGTGATCAACCAGTATCAACACTTGTTTCTCACGATGAACATTGGGCGGAAACATCACTAACTGGTCTCAATATTCTATTAAATCTTCTGTCGCATTCCAATGTATTATTTTGTGGTCCAGCATCGGTTCGTATACATTCATTGTTAGATAGTCGTCCATTGAATAGTCGTGAAGAAGCTGCCTGTTTCTTATCAAATGTAAATAAAATCTTTTCGACTATACCACAATAAGAGGGATCTGATCATGTTGGATTTTTATTACCGATATGAAAACAATTATTGATAAATCTTATGAAATTCTTCAAATGAGTGTTCAAATGCCAAACATACCATTACATCGTGCAACATCCATTGTATTAGATGATTTTTGTCAATATTGTCTATCATCGAATAGTCAAGAATGAAATAGGTTCATTCAACGGCACATTGAACCACTCGCTGAACATTATCGCTCAATGTCGATACGACCATTTCATATGAAGATGAAAATATATTGGAATAATTGTGATGAAATGATGATGCCAGGTATACATAAACGAAATCGGCAAATCGGCGAAAAAAAATTAAAATTTCAAGTAAGTCTACAACGATGTCGTTGGCAATATCAAAAGTCGTCATTCTGTAATTAAGAATCATATTATTGCACAATGGCGTCTTCGTCGTCGTACTGATCAGCAACGTATCTTGCAACTAACTAAACAACGTCGTATACATTAATTGCTTGTTGAAAAAGAATGTAAGAATCGCGAAAAATATATTTATGTTGAACGCGATCCATGGTCAAATGAATGAAAGAATTCCTAACGAACGTCAGTGGATGTTATCCGACCGGGAAAATATACATCGTATGAGATGTAAACTTGTTGAAAATAACGAATTTAATAAACATGAAGAAGCAAGTCGTTTACGAGATAATTTGGTTCTCTCAAGTTTGGTCGAAAACAGAAAAATATCAGCACATTTGGCGTCTTACTCCATTTCGACATTTTTTCCTTCGACCAAACTTGAGAGAGCCGATAATTTAAGCATCGATTCGATAGATTAGTCACGTCAATCGTTACTTGAAGAAAGCTTTAAACATAAAAATCTATTGATCCAGCAAGAGATCTTACATGGAACTGTAATCGATGAGCAAGAACTTGCAACTGTTGCCAACGAAACACAATCGTTATTACTCGAGGAAAAAGAAAAAATGTAAATCGAACTTTTTATCAACTAATTATTCAGTTTTGATCATATATAGAAATCAAAATCGAGTGAGATATTATTCCATTGTACGAGCACGTTTTCAGCCATAAGGAAGTAAATTCATGCTTTACACAGATTTTTGGAAAACCGATTATGTCCATTACGACGTGTTGGTAATAAGAATAATTACCCAATCATACACACGCCTTTCTCTATATGATATCAATTTTACTGAACGCATTGTTAGCGCTTTGGTGTCTGGTTGGTGAATTCGGGTAGAACAAAGATACAATGGTGTTTATTGACTATAAAAGCAACCACAAAGTACAATTTGTTTTGTATCGATATAAGAATTGCAGAGACAGAAATGGATTATTCAATAATTACTGGATTAGAAGATTTACTCGTAGAAACTTTGATGGAAATCTTTATTTATTTTACAGCTGGTGAAATTTTATTTGTTATTCTCTCAATTAAATAATCGTCTTAATTTAATTCTCAAAACATTACCCAATTTGGTTCTTGTGATACGCAAAGATTTCGATCCTTCTGTTATTTCTTTCTTCTACTCATTTAATAAAATTTTCGTGAAGTTTTCTCACTCAGATATAAGTTGTAAGTGTCAATCCCATTCTATAAACGGTGGTAATCGTTTGTTTGAAATTTATCCAGCATTGGATAGTGAAATGTGTTTTAATTATTTGAATCAGATCGAAAACATAATTCGTCCTGATATTTCTTCTCAATTACAATCATTAGTTTTAGCAGCTACTTCTCCTCAACTAGCACAACTCATATTTCGTGGTGAATTTCCTAGTTTAAGAATTTGTCATCTTGGTTAATGCAAACCACTCGATCTTCCATTAACGATGCCTATTCAACAGCGGCGCTTCAGTCAATTAACTATACGAAAGCAAAATGGTTATGATTTGAAAACGATTTTATTGATTTGTTCTACTTTGATCTATCTTGATTTCTCATGTGATAATGAGATTCCTCCATTTATTTTCAGCGCCGGTTGCTTTCCATCTATGAAATGTCTTCGACTTGGTCGCATTGAAAATTTCTTTTTTCACAATGGTCAATTCAACTTCCTTCTCTCACTCTTTCCAAATCTTCTACAATTCTATTTCACTGCTGATCAATGTCGTGAACATGTTGAAATAATCAACTTCAGAGAAATTGCGGATTATCTACGCTATCAATGTCCATTATTAAAAATAATAATTTTACGTATCTATATGCAAGAATGTATGCGTTCTTCGTATTATATAGGCAGTTTTAAGGAAATTTCCGAGATGAATTCTCTTTTCAGGTACATCTGTAAATGTGATTCGCGCCTAATGATTACTTCGCATGGTTTTATTCAGCATCATGTTTTTACGCGGCGATATTTTCGTCCTTAGTCTTGATCATTATATGCAAATACCAGATCTGTTTTTCACTGACATGCCATTCATATGATTTTTTTGATGATTTTATTCAAATAAAATTTGGAAATGGAAGAGAAAATTTAATGAAATAAAGGAACGTTGTTTAGTGATAGCGCGTGGGTGTGGTTTTGAACTATCGATTGGAAAATTAACTGCCTCATTTAAATCTTCAGCTTAAATCTTGCGGATTTGTGGGTGGGATTGTGGCTAGGGTGCTTGAATTGCCCGTATACGTTTTGTTTTCATCCAACCAGAGCGTAACTCAGACCCAAATATCATACGCCCTGTCGTTTGAAAAATTTTTAAGAAAGGATTTGAAATCTATTGTAAATCATTCATTTATTTGACATTCAAAAAATCTTCTTGTATATCTTTTTGCCAGGCTGCTAAAAATTTTTCTTTAATTTCTCCTTGTGGAATTCTAAAAGATATTTCAACACCTCCATTATCTTTGATCCAATTCCCATCTTCTAATTTAACAGGATTTAAATGAAATATTCGAAAATAATATTTAAAAATTCCCATCGTATGAAATCGACATTGATTTTTCATACCAAAATCAACTAGATTAGACCAATCATATTTAAAGTTTGAATTAAATACAACTTCATCTTTATCCCAAACAAAATTAACATTTCCATCTTTTTTAAATTGTCTCATCAATACATTAGCTGAAGTTACCCATTTTTTAAGAAAATCTTCTTGACGCGTTATTTTAATTAATTGTCGAATGGTTTTTGCAATACTCGATAAAGAACAAGGATTAGGAAAATCCGAAGATAATGGTTGCATTATTGCATTAGCTACATAACCTTTAGGTGTCAATGAATCAGTAACACCTCGATAATTAACATAAATATAAGCACGCCGGATACATTCATCTCGATTGATCAATAAATGTTTATTCATTAAAAAAATGATGTAAGCACAAAGTGCATCATGTGTTGTTATTTCATTACTATCACCAGCAAGCATACGTAATTTAGCAAGTTGTTCAGAAGAGAATGGCATACTAATGGGATCAGTTTCTGTGTGTTCTTTAGCAAGACGAGCTAAGATAGTTTCTTTTTTATCGGTATTTCGATATAATTTCAACACAGGTAAACAAGAAAAGTCAGGATCTTCTTTGTCTAATAGATGTCGTTCAAAAACTGGACGAGGAAAAATAGGTTCAAGATTTTGATAGATTTGTGAAAGATCATTGTGAAAATGAACAATCGAATTAGCATCACCAGCCATATGACAAAAACTTGTGCCGAGAACATATTCATCGCTACGAATCAAACGTGTTACTTTAAATCGAAGAAGTGGCTCGATTTCTGGTTTATATAGAGTTGAATCAATAAATGGTTTAATTAATTTCATATCATCGACTATAACAGGAAGGTTGGGCCATCGTTCGAGTTCATCATTTTCAATGTAAGTAAATGGAATAGAATTATCAGAAAATTCAATGAAATATCGATCATCACTTTCGACAATTATACGTCCAGTTAAAATTGGCCAAAACGACAGCGTACGACTCAGAGCATCGCGTAATCGATCAATATCGAGTGATAGGTAAACAAAAATATTATCGACACCGCTAAATATTAAATCTGTACTGAGTACTTTTATTCGACGACCATTTCCTGTTGGCGAAGATGCATCAATAAATGAAGTCATCTTGAACACTTCTATTTATTGATCTTCAGAGATAAATATTTCGAAATTAATAATATCATTTCAACACAGTAAGATGATAATAGTTGTGGAGAGGAGGAAGGAAAAGAACACATTTGTTTCTTATTGGTGCTTCTTTCAAGTCAAAATCGTGGAAGATGACGTTAGATACTAATCTATATTTTATTTGCCGTATAGTGTTAGAAGGATTACAAGACTTCTTTCCCTTTGAATTGATAGTAGATGAACTTCTCGTCTGTGAGTGAGTACGGCGCCAATAGACACCTCTAGTCACACCCATACTCTTAATAATGCTTCAAAATGTAACAAGTGTTCGCATTATTGATTGTTCATAACAGTCGTATTCCAGTGATTTTAGATTCGAACAGTTCATTACTGTGCAAGATCAATACTATTTGTGACGACTGTAGTATAGAATACAGGCTACGCACGTATTTAAAAAAAACATTTCATTGATTAGTGTCGCTCCGTGCAGCAAAAACTACGGAAACCTTCTTAGGTTTCGATACCTTTTTTTTGGGTGATCTGATCAAGAAAAAGTAGAAATAAAAAAAGTTGTAACATCTGTTATCGAAAAGAGGAACCTGCAAATCAAACTTGAATTGAAAAATTGTTAAAACAAGTATCATGTGTATATTATGATTACACGCTCTTTGAAACAGAAGCATAAATTTCAATTCAAGACTATGTTAGCATCGACTGATTATCAGAGATCGAAAAATTCACTTCAAACATGAAAATGCAGTGCAGAAAAAAACAAACGAACATAATTGACAAACTGTCAGACGCTCATCTATATACAACATCTTCGTATGAAAACTGTATAGACATTGTTTTCACAGTTATTTATCGGTCGAAAATGAGAACACCTCTGCATTTACTATCTTTAGATAATCTGCTACTTGCATTACAATAGATTCGGTTAGTAGACCAGCATTGAACGCGATCTTCTCGTTCTTGATAATACTCTCGTCAATGAAGAGATCAAACGCAAGGATCGGACGACCAAACGGAGGCACACTACCAGGTACTAATCCTGTTAATTGAAATAGTTCGTTATTAGTGGCAAAGCGAAGTTTTTTTGTATTAAAACGTTCCTTAATCTTCTTCCAATCACACTTTTTTGCTGCACTTAATACAAACAGATGAAACTGATCGTCAACTTTCAGGAGAAGAGCTTTTCCGTCAATAGATAAATCCTCACCACGCGCTAATGACGATTCTTCTGATGTGCAGGTCGCTTGATGCTGTATTTGCCGATGGATAATGCACTTTTCATTTAAATACGAGCATAATGCTTCAAAAACATTATTTGTGAAGGCGAGAGAATTGTTGGCCATGCAAATCTAAAATACGTAATGTCTAGTGCATCGAAACCAAGGAGGGCAAAGTGAGACTCGTACGCCTGAAGTAGAGTGAAAGCACAGATACAGACGGATTACAATGGGAGTACGGCGAGGGCGTAGTGGAAGTACAGAAGATATCAACTTCAGCTATATTCCAGGAGTAGGGGGAGCTTTGCTTTTTCCTCCTTGATCGAAATGTATTCTCTGAATGGTTGCTTATTACTAGTTATACTTGATCGATATGCAGGGATTCGACGAGCGTGGGACGTATGTGGGGAGGGGTTCGAAGTGCTTACTTTTGAAAATTAACCAATACAGCTTAAATCCGTTTTCAGCTTTCACGTGTTCCATTAAAGGTAGCATCACAATTTGAACAAAATCATACTCTTACTTCAAAATCCTCAATTTAGCAAAACTTTCGAGCTTTTCCAACTTTAACTATTCATAATGCTCATTAGTTTTCGAAGTGTAATAAAACAAGCCTTTGCGGCCATAGAATCTGTCTTCTCGAATTGTACAACCCTATTAAGCAGTTAACTGCAAGGGCACATGATAACGATTTGAAATTATGGGTATTGCAAATTAATTCTCAACATTGAGAGCTCTTTACATTTACGCAGAATATCTCTCAAAAAGTCAAGACCTACTATTTATATTAAAGAAGTGCTGGCCTTTAAAATTCATTTGGTTATTAACAGATTTTCAGGCTATAGTTAAGCATATTAAAAAAGTTTGTTAGTGTAGCCCCTTTGGGACTAAAGTGTGGAACTCGCATAGATCCCTTAGACTTACTGAAATAATTCAAAATAGTTCATGTGAAAAATCTTTGTAACGTGGGAGGGATGGGGAGCCGCAAAAAATCTCACTTTTAAACTTACACTCACCATTTTCTTCGAAAATATATGTGAGTTCCACAAAAATGACGACTAATGAATAAAATTAAAAGAACGAAGTGCTTACAACGATTTTAAAATAATTACAGAGTAAAAAATGTGGCTTTGTTAAAAACTACACCCAGAACTGGCCTGAAAAATAGTCACCAATCAGTAGGGGCGTAACTAGCGGGGTCTCTGAGGGCCTCGGGGGGGGGGGGGGGGGGGGGGGGGGGGGGGGGGGGGGGGGGGGGGGGGGGGGGGTAAATAGGGGGGGGTATGTGGGTCTCAGCCGCCCCCCCCCCCCTACAATTTTTTTTCTGCTGACGCCCCTACCATTCACATCTGTCTGATTCTTAATGGCCTGCGTATTTTATGATAATATCATTCCCTCAGAGTAGTCATCTCTAAAATACAAACCGTAGAGTGTCGAAGGAGTGAACGAGAAGCTATAAATTAATATTTTCAATCACTCTTACTTTTTTAGTGATTTTTATACATACTTTTTCTCAGCTATGTGATTCATTCTTTTTATGACGAATATGTTGTATCTGATAAGAACGCAAATATTTCTGAGTCGATTGGAAAGTGCCACAAATCGAATATATGATACAGTTTTGATTAGGGATGCACCAATTCCAATTCCTACTCCAACCACTTCCGATCAATTCCAATTCCGACTAATACCAAGTCAAGAATTGAAATTGGTGGATCCCTAGTTTTGATTAACTTTACTTCCGATTCCAACATGCTACAAAGAAAACTGATAAGAAGCACAATGACATTGAAAATTTTAACTCAATAGGTGGGTGCGTGACTTTCATTCTATATTTTTTCCAACTTGGTGACACCTGAGGAAAAAATGTTAATGCTCGCAACCTGGCTGAAAATTTTCAGCAAAATGATTAGCCATTGATTTTTTTATTGATTTTAGCTTCAGTCTTTTTTGAAATGAGTAAACGATTTTGTGGGTGTTATCTACGCAATGGAAGGATGAAAGAAAATCTTAATACAATGCGACAGTGGAAAAATCCAGGAATGAAAATCAGTAAGCAATAAATAGAGGTGCTTATCACTTGTGGAATCAGCAATCATTTCGTCTCTTTTCAGCTTTAGGATTCCCAAGGTTTAGATGTCTTCACTCGTATTCTCACAAAAGTATGTGCCCGAATTCAAGAGATACAAGTTCAGTCAAAGCGTACGTGATGCAGTCAGGAAGTACACGCTTATAAATAAACCGGACAATCATCATGGGTTATTGGCCATTCTTTCCGACTGGGCGATCATTATTTTTTGTGTTGTAGTGTCACAATATGTGTACAACTATATTCATATGCGTTTCGTTTGGATGTTTGCTTATTTTTTGGCTACCTGTGTCATTGGCGCACGACAACGTGGTTTAGCTCGGGGTTTACATGAAGCAACCCACGGTTGTTTTGCTAGCAATCAATATTTGAATTTTTTTCTTGGTACATTCTGTTCGGGTTATGTCGTATTTCAAAGTTTTTGTGGCTACCAAGCATCACATGTCAGAAATCATCATCCATACCTAGGCACTGATCGAGACCCTGATTATGTACATAGGACATGATTATAAAATTTTCTTGCAAAAACTAACTTTTCTTTGTAGCAAGGATTGAAAGAAAACGGGATATGTGGTGTTCATAGAACAAGAGCCCATGTTGAACGTTATTTGCTGAGTTTATTATGGCCCATTGCTTCACTGAAGTATTTTATGTATTTAATCAAATATCGTATTTGGACAAAAGTAAATGATTGATAGAAATGAAAATTCTAACATTGAACTATTTCAGGATGATGATAATCGCGAAACGTTGCTGCGAAGTGTCTATCTGATCATGCTTACGACAATCTTTCTCTACAGTGGACGCAGTTCGCTACTTTTATTCTATTGGATTATTCCTTACTTCACTACCCATATGTGGATTGGATCATTGATTGAGCTTATGGAGCACTATCCTATGGTAATCTAGCGGTAAATTGAAGAGTAGTTAGTTTCTATGTTTTTAATATAGATTGAGACCGCTCCTCGTATTGATATATACCTGACACGAAATCGTTTTTGTGGATGGCTTTGGAATTTTTTCCTTGGTGTACATAATGAAAGCTACCATCTCGTAAGTTGCTTCCCGTCTCTTCTTTCTAATCTACAATTTTTGCTTGAGTCTATTTTAGATTCACCATTTGTTTCCGAAAGTACCCGAGTGGGAATATCATAATGTTCATCGTATATTGATGACAGATGTGACGTATGCTAGCCTTCACAAGAAGTCGGTCAGTAGTTTTTAAATTCAACTGTCGAACCGTTTCAGATGATATTGTACTTTTCTTTGTAGGGCTGGAAAAATCTCATGAAAGAAATAATACAAGTTGACGAGGAACAATAAAGTTTTTTCTTCATTTTGACTTCTCCTTATTCAAAACACAGTTTTCTTGTTATAATATAAACCATGTATATATGTTGGATTCGCACTTGTGAATTGTTTTTATTATTGTTGCACTATTAAATTCGATAAACAAAGATCTTCTGTATATCTAACCATTACATATAGAAGATACGAGTGTTGATGTAAATGTGATTCTATATTCGAAGGTGGTGAAATGAATACTGAGACTTAAGTGCATCCTGAGGATCATATACAGATTTTCATCGCTTTATGCTAGGACACCATATCTAACAAATAATCTAAAAAAGAAGGTCATGATGTAGTGATGGTGAAGTTTAGCCAAGTAATTTTTCCAACGATAAACCATCACTTTCGGACCTCCACAGATCGTTCGAATCAAACAGTATGTTAAGTTGAAATGAAATTGATATTGAGCAATAATATTACAACTAAACAGTCATAGACACCCTCAAGCGGTTGGCGAAATGCATGCCATCTATTGTAAGTAATTATTCAACGGTGATGTAAGTTTATTCATTTCGCATAGCTTTACTTCATGGCAATACAATATTCCGTTTTCAACTTCAAATGAAATTTTTTCCAAACGCATTTTCTTAAACTGCTTACATTTTTCTTGAGAGAGTGAATGTGGGCATTGTTGTTCAGAAACCCCACACCCGCACATTATCATTGCACAGGAGGGAACTATGTCTGAGGAAGAAAGAAGCGCATAGAGTAAAAATTCAATTATTTGCGTGATTCATCAGGATCGATGCTATTCGTTAAGGTCGCATTCTCTTGCATTCTGAGTGTGATCCGTATTCTATAGAAAATGTTTTTTTTTTATAAATGAAGGCAATAGTACGTATTGCGATTATTTTTTTCTCTTATAAATTAAATCGTCTGATTAACAACCTCATTTGAATATATAAATATATGATGAAAAAACAAATCCTTAAATCATTCGAAACGACGAAACTTTTAGTGAAAATCACAGGTAAATTTAAATATTGGTTTTGTATCTTACAATCCATTCGGCAATCACAAGTATTCGGATAAAAGCAGACTTCTAATGAAAGCACTGTGGTTCTTCTTAGCGTTATTGCTAATAATTCTGTATCCTGGTACTTCAAATGCCTGGGATTGCTACGAAACATGGAGCCGCTGCACAGGCTGGTCCTCACCTGCAACCGGTATTCTTTGGCAAGGCTGCCCATCATATTGTCAAGGCTGCAGAAATGCGACAACTGGAGCTTGTGTCGAAGTAGGAACCACAACATGTAAAGGAAAACAGATTAAAGCCTATCAATGCCAATGCTCAGGAAGATGGACAGGTTCCAACAAACCGTCCTGTTATCCTGCTGGACTCGGCTAATATATTACATAAATAAAATGTAAAATGCTTATTCATTAAATGCGAATAAATATATAAGTTGTTTCAGCGATGCTAGAAACATTCTTTAAAAATTAGTTCAAACTACGGCAATAGATTATCTTGTTGAACATAAGTCTGCTTTTTTTGACTGACTGAAATGCCTGAGGTATCAGAGTAACAAGAGAATAATACGATCAGACGTCCTCCAAATATATATATTATCTGGTTTGCCATCGCATGATATTGCAAATCTTCTTCGGTGAATGAATTTTATAGCAAAATATATTGTATCTTAAGCTGTTACATCATTTTATGACTACACTCTGTTTCATCACGAAAGTTGATTTCAAATAAATATTTTCAATCGAGAACGGCTACAATGCGAAACATTTTTATTTTGCCCTAAAGAAAAAATATGATTGACGCATAAAGCCTACTCATTCTCTGCCCTTCATATTGAAAATTTCTTTGTCACACTCAAAATGCAGGATGTCCGAAACGTCTCTACCTGCATCTTTTTTTTAATGATCGTTGGTGGATGCAAGGCTTCACAAAGTTAACACTTGTATAAAAATTTCGCCTATTTGAATTGGTCGATCTCTAGTTTGACTAGACCGTACCGAGTTAATTTTTCTGAGGACGCGCAAAAGTAAGATTTTATTCAAACACTGAATAATTTTAAAATTTAAATCATCAAGCGATAATTCAAAGTACAAATAAAAAAGGCAGTGCTACGTGTGGTATGATGTTTGTTAGTTCATCTTAAAATTCGGTTGTTGCTGTGTGAGGTGTTCAGCACAAGAAACTGTAATGAACATTTTTGGTAATCGTGGCTTGATGGATCGATGTAAATGTTTCTTGTGATTTCTTCGCTTATTGACAATGGATGATATAGAATTTTCTTTTTGACTTCTACTGATGGAATTTATATTATTGCTTATTTTATCATTCATATGTCCGAACGATAATCGTAAACGATCGAGCGTATGTAAAAAATATTCATATCGCTGATTTAATGTATCAATCGCTTTTTCATAATGTAACATATTAGGATATATTTTTTCTGATGGATGCATCGAAGAATAATTTACATTCATAGCTGGTTGATTATTATAATGAGTCGCAATAGCAGTTAAATTGTTAGTCGCATATTCCGAGCAATAGATTTTAAAAGCATTTCGTGACAAAACGAATGGATCCATTCGAATTTATAGAGAAAAAAATGAAATGGAGATAATACATTTCTATTCAAAAGCGCCTTAATTCTAATTGAAAAGATATTTCATTATAATAGCAGGGGGGTGGGTGTGGGTGTGGGTGTGGGTGGGTGTGTGTGTGTGTAGACCCGCAGGTCCACCTTTCCTGGCACCCACACTTGCTATGTTGTGCGTGTATAGACCCGCTTGTCCGCCTTTCCTGGCACCCACACTTGCTATGTTGTGTGTGTGTGTGTGTGTGTAGACCCACGTGTCCGCCTTTCCTGGCACCCACACTTTCGGTAAAGTCGCGTTTTTGCCGTTGTCGAATATACTCACCTAAATTCTGAGCGTTCTCGTCTAATAGCAGTTGCTGTGAATTTCGTGGTTAAGGGTTGGTTTTGGATCGCTTTTAAAGCGTTCCATACATTGTTACATGTTGCAGACTAGATAACCAGGGATGAAATACAGTTGTCGTGTATCTTCAATATCGTGTGTTTATATCGATTTTTGTTGAGAACTACAGGCGTAAAGGTTTCGTATATTAAGCTTATGGTAGCATAAAATGAATATGTCGGCGTGGTGCATGTGAAAAGTAAGTTTAGATCCGTTGTATTTTTTAGCTAGGAGAGAGAGTCTGCTGAATATTTGTTAAAAAGGATTTTGCCGTTTATTGGTGGCATCATTTGTGAAATGGAAATCGAAATTTATTCCTAAATCATAAATTCGTGCGAAGTTGAATTATGAATTTTATGATTTATTACAACTAAATCTAAATATATTCCCAAATTATAAATTTAGGCGACCTCTATTGTATAAACTTCATAATTTACAATTTATAAAACTTAATCTTTATCTTTTTCCTAAATATAAATGGGAGCGAAGTTGAATTTATAAATTTTATAATTTATAAAACTTAATCTTTATCTTTTTCCTTAATTTTAAATGGGGTGCCCGTTGGACGATCTTTTGCTTTTGCTATCGGATGATTTTTGAAGGGTCGCGATTTTTTTTCGTTTATTTTCGAATTGTAAATAGTTATTCAGATGTCGATTTATATTCGAAGTCGAACTAGGCATTTCATGATTTCTCAAGTCGCTCTTACACATAAAAGTTTTTTAAATTCATTTTTCAAATAGAAATTAACTACTTTTATTCATTAATTTTTATAAAATACCAATTGATATATTCTAATAAAGCATTTTTAACAGAACTGTACTATTTTGTTTTTGATTGCACACGCGACTATATATCATATGCAGCTCATCTCAATCTCTTTACTCTGATTCTATCACTTTTACACTAATAATTTCTCTTACATTTATAGATAAAAGAAACAACGAACAAAAAAATACCGTTATGACTGTAGGTAATGATAATGAAGAAACTATACAAATCTTGAAATCAAAATTACTTATCGAACAAGAAACAACAAAACGAATACTTGAAGAAGAAAAAACAAAATAACAACAATTAGTTATTGAAAAAGAAAAAGAAATACTTCCCACGTCGATCAAAACGGACCACCGTAAACCGGCGTAACATTACCGTAAACGGTTGTTTTTGCATCGTACTCCGTCGTAAAACGGCCTTTTTAAGCCGTATTAAGGCGTTTTAACAGGAGCAATATTACGGCTATACACGGGCACTGTATATTAGCCGTAAAACCTCGTTAAGCCGGCGTAATATTATCGTATTCTATAGAACATATGGCCGTATTACTGCCCCTGTTGTACGGGGAAAATACGGCACGTACAACAGGCCGTATTTGTATCGTATACGAAAGTTTACTGATCGTTTTCTTCGACCGGGGTTCTCGCTCAAGCCAAATAAACATCCAACATAAACATTCTTTATCGTCACTCAATAACGACTTGCTTTTATTAAGAAACCATCATGATTTTTACGATTATTATGTAAATGGTAATATCGATTCGTTCGATATCAGGTTTTTGTTAAATGATAATAATAATTTACATGGCAATATAGAAAATCGTACTCAAAGTTATTTGAATGATACTTCATCATTTTCTACAATATCGGAAGAAAATATTCAACAAGTATTCGATAAATTAGTGGTTACACTATTAAGAATTATTTAACGGTTCAACAGTATCAAAATATTTAAGTACATACAGATCAAATTCGTTAGAACGATTACGTCCTGATTGTTGTTTTGTGTACAAAAGTGTTAACCCAGGTCAAACATGACGACGACCTGATACGATCGTAAACGGCCGTATACGGTAGCGTATACTACCGTTTGATAACGTTTCCGACCGTAAATCGCCGTAATTTGACGTTTTGGTATGCACCGTATTACGGCCGTATTCCGCCGTGTCGTAAACGGTTACTAACAGTCGTAATGTGGTGGGATATTTCAGTATCCGACCGTATACAATCGTTTATGGCACGATGCAAAACGACCGTAAATTATGGACAAATGGCTGTGTACGACACAAGCTGATCGACCTCGGAATCTGAATAAGCCGCAAGCGCAATGCTTTCAAGATTTTATTGTTTGTCTCGGTGAATTCAAGACGCCATCAACTTCTTTAGATAACGAAGCAACTATTGCACAAGTGTGCCAATATTTGGCCAATGTATTAAAGGTACAAAATCGTCGAAAGATCTATGGTTTTGTAACTAATTTGACACATATGACATTTTATTGTGCTGAAAAGAAACCATATTCAACTTCATACCATTATTATAAAAGTCAACATTTAGAAATGTTCAATTGTTTGTCAAAAACATCATCATCTGTTGGTACGAAAAGAAAATTGAATAAAGAAGCATGGGAAATATTTACAAAATTTTTAACAATGAATCCGGACTTTTACCAGTATACAACGTTGAATATAAATCCTCTTGATGATTTACGTGGTGATAGATATTCCATCAGTCGAAAATTAGGAACCGGTGTAACGTCAATGGCTTATTCGTTAGTAAAAAAGCAGGATAATTATTTAATTGATGATGTAGAAAATTGTGTAATTAAAATCTCGAAACGAACCACATGTTCCGAATCGCTCATAAATGAACTCAAAATTATAGAACAATTAAAACAATCAAATAATCAAAATAAATTTGATTTATTTTTTGAAAATGTTATTGATTCATCACCTGCAGGTAACGTTAGTCTATTAATGTTTTTCTTAGCGTTTTTAATACGTTCACAGTCTATCTAAAAACGAATTGAGAATATTGTTTGTTTTTCGAGGAAATTGACGAAAAATACAGCGAAACAAAAAAGATTTTATAAGATACGAAAATTGTGGCAACCGTAATTCTTCAATGGAATTTGTCTGAATAAGAGTTAGAAGAAAAAATTGCTCATCATACTAGATGAATAACTAGAAAAATTGTTTTCTTACGAAAATAGTTCGAGTGAAATAATAATTGTTTTGTCCTATCAGTGACATATGAAATGAATCAGAAGAAAAGTATCTCGAAAGTTGAATTAATTCAAGTTGAAATCATTAGATTGTGTTTCGAATTCCTATTTGACATGAAAATATGAGATTTTTATTTGGATGATATTATTTAATATATAGATTGAAGCGAAATATGAAATGAGGAGAATAATGACGAATAAAATTTTAGTTTAAAAAAGGAAGATAATACAAATTCATAATGAGAGAAAACAAAAAAATATCATATGACTATTTCAAAGTTTTATTCATAATTTGTTTATTTTTATATTTAGGTAACTTTTTAGTATTTCAAAATGAATTACTATCTATCGAATCATTAACATTAATTCAGTCAAAACAACTTATTGATGTCATTCAATATTTATATGATTGTCGCATTATTCATCGTGATTTATGTCCACCAAATTTGATGTTAGATAAAAACAGTCAACATTTAAAATTAATCGACTTTGGTTATGCCAGAACTTATGAAATGAATGAAATAACAAAAGAAGTACCAATTGAAGGAACAACTATATATGCTGGTGAAAAATTTTTACTTTTTTATTCACGTCTATCATTGAATTCATTATTTGATCCATATTATGCTTATGAACGAACCTTTGATCTGAAATGTGCATTAAACGTCATCATGGTAATGAGCAACTGTGAAATTAGAGTTAAAATGGATTCAATCAATGCACTACCTGAGGTTAAACAAAAAGTATTATCATCATTAGAATTATGGAAAAACCTAGAAGTGAACAATGAAAATTACTCGAAATTATTGAACTCGATAAATAATTTAACAGGAACAACAGATTTTGATGTTATCAAAGATGAAGTCGATAAACTTTTCAAGCATTGAGCAATTCAGATAATCTTTGTAATCAAGTCCATGTTTATGCCATTGATCAAAAAAACATAACTGATTAGTTCTTATTTTTTTGTATTTGTTTTTGTTCTTGTTAAACTTGATTTCGGTGTAAATATAAACAGTATGATTCACAGAGAAAAAGCGACTGATTTCATTGATTAATACGAATTTTTTTCGACGAGGTGAGTTTCGAGCACCAAATGAAAGAAATAATAGAGCGATCAGTTATCCCTTGAACAAGCTGACACTGTAAGGTGTATATGTATGTAGCTATTAAACTATGATTAGCTCAACTCATATTGGTTAATCTCATCATTATCGAAAAATTATGGAATGCAAAGGACTAATGATTTACATATAAGAAACTTATGATTAGCTAGGAGAATTTCTGTAAAATAAGATCAATTGTCAAACAATGAATATCAAGTTTCTAATGCCGCTGAAACATTTGATGAGGCTTATACGATGCTGCAATTACATCAAGCATAAAAAGATCGTAATAGGATATGGATACGAAGACCAGTTTGAGCCTTTCCATCCAAAAATTAAAACTCACATCTTCATCCTTACGTTCGTCCACAATCTCACTCTCTTGGTGGTGATTCTATAGCATTTTTTTCTGATTTTGCTACAATCATTTCTTGTGTTCATTTAGTTTACTAGTTGTTTGAGCAAAAGAAAAAGTATTTTAATACAATGATACTACGTTTTGTTCATCAACTAATTTTCAATGATTGTGTGCGAACAATAAATGTCTTGTCGACATCTGTTTCATTAGTAAATAAAAAAAGAGATTTATAAACAGAAAGAAATTTTCAAGTAAATAACCAATACGACATTAGCCAATATTTGGCACGACTCGATCAAAAACTAGAGTTTATTTCTTATCATATTACACTTTTCCTCCATGTTTCCATTCGACGACAATGATGCACGTATATGTACATCAACTTCATAATATGAAACTAAATCTCCACCTTGATCTAATTTTGAATGAACATCTTCATCGAATTTGTTGTCATACAAATGTATCAAATTGATTCCAATCTTTTCATATGATATTACTTGATACATAACAAAACACAAATGTTGTTGTTTACATCATTTTCTATTTCTGCTTCATTTGTTGATAACGAATCAATTAAACAATATAATATTAACATTTTATCATTATCAATCTAAACAAAAACGAAGTTCGTGCTTTGCAGATCTATATCGGATAGGAAAACATAAAACATAAAACATATATGTATATCATGAATTTAACAAAATTTTAAGTATTGACAAATGAAAATTCAAGCATTTTTTGTTTTACTTTTTGAAAAAATTCAGAGAAGTTTATAAAATCTCGGATATATCTCTTATAAGTCACGAAAAACATCTATAAATAGTTTTCGAAAAATATTGTTTAATTACGAAGAAAAAGAATTGATTTTTTCCAAAGTAGGAAAAATTTCGTTTTTAAAAAAAAAGAGAAAAAGTTTTATATCATTTTAATTTTGATCATACCTGTTTAATAACTTTGTTGCAATCAATTTTTTCGTATGAAATAAAGACCTTTATTGATATGAGTATTGGATAAATTTAAGAAATACTCTGTATATAATTCTTCACATTTTTGAGGGTGTGTTTTTACAAATGGGTGCCATCGTATCCGTATATCGTTTGAATCAATGTATACCAATACCGTAACTTTGAAATGAGAAAATATTAATTATTCAACTAACAAAGCGATTTCATTTAAAAACATGCCGACTGACTGTATAGGCGGTGAAGCACAAGCTACAGTCCTTGTACTTATTTCAAAGACAATATGCATACTATATATGGTGTATAGTTAATACGTTTATTATTAACTAAACATAGCCTATGAAAAGAAAAAGAAAATATTTATTTTAATACAAAATTAAAAAACAAAACTACTATTAGTCGAATGCGAAATATGATTTACTTAGTTGCTGTTGCTAATCATCGATCATCGGGATATTATTTTATGCTCTCTACACTCACATCTTTCTTCGTCATCCATTTACTTAATCCTCGGAATATGAAAGCACCCTAGTTTCAATAGAGGGAATAAGGAAATCGCTCATGCATATATATACTACAACGAGACGTTATTTAATCGTCTATGGGCAACTTCTTCTATGATTTCTAATCAAAGTGTTTATCGAATTCAAAGCCAACTTAATGTTTGCTATCTCTGTCTTGTATCTTAGATAGGAGGGTCTACTTTTTTACTTCTTTACTGCAACAATTTGTTTAGATGTTGTTTTGTTTTTTGAAAGAAAGAAATCAAATAATATATTTACATGTAATTATCATCAAGTACTGTATTTAAATTTTCAATTCAACAAAATATGCCATCACAAATAATCCAATGATGATCTTTTTTTGTTTGATCTTGAACATATTGTCCAACATTACTACTCTCATAAGATCATCCTTCCATTCCATTGTCGTTTTCTTAAATTCACCATATAATTCACCACATCTAATGATTAAGTACATATGTATGTACAGGTTGATAAAAATCATATTGAACACTATTTCCATGTCAATCAGTTAATATTCGATAGACAATTGTTTTTTCATCTAATGTCATTCCAACTAACTTAACATCACATCGAATAAACATTGTTTCATAAAATTGTATAAGTTTTCGCATTTGAGATTCATCTGTTTATAAATCACGATGAGTTTGTACATCAATTATTCTACGACGTAATTCACTAGTGAAAATTAAGAAAAACTGATAACAATATTTTTATTGAAATTTATAATGAATATTCAATATATCTATATATCTATATATAGGTTATCATTGAAAGAAAAATTTGAGAATATTCGATTATTTTAAAATAAAATAAAAATAAAATATTCTATATGCTTACTAATCATGTTCTCCGAAAAGAGCATTTCAAAATAAATCTTCTATAATAACTTTGAATAAAATAGCATAATCAGTTAAAAATTTTGGTAAATTAGAATGACGTAAAGCACGAATTAAAAACCAAGATCTTCATTAATATTCGAACTTTCATGTTTTAATACAGTAGCCATGACTAAAACTGATTTGACAACACATACTTAAATCATAATAATCTCTTGTTGAGACAATTGTTCAGAACATAATTTATATATTTGAACCATTTTTTACGTGCTAAAACTTGAAAATTTTGAAAAACTTGAAAATATAAAATAACTCGACCAATAAGACGATAATCAGCAAGCATTCATCATTGCTTGTGGTCGAAAGAAAACCTTCAAGTTATCAGGTAACTCTGTTCGATCAGCATAACGTAAATTCATTGTTATCTAATTGAAAAGAATTCATGAAAACAAAAACTTTTGAACAACAAAACTTACAAAAATGATAGTAGAAATTGTAAAAATAATTTAAACAATTCTTTTCATTTCTTATCCTATTTTGACTACTGTTTACATCATGAATAGAGTAATTAATTATTGAGCAATGGCACTAAGTAATTCATAAAAACAAAAAAAGACAACTGTTAGTAAAATCTCAAGGAGACACCTATATGTGAAACTCGATGTTACTGTTTTTCGTAATCATACAGAGATTGTATTTTAGTAGAAATTTTCTTCGCTACTCTCTTTCCTCCAGAAAATGTCATAAATCAGGAGAGGAAGATGTTGATCAAGCATATGTCACTCAGGTGAGAAATGGGGTCTATCATGTTTTGTAAGAGAATCAAATGATTAATGAAAATTTCTTTTAGATTGTGTGTCAGAAAATTTATCATTGATTTCTTAATTCACGAATTCGCATTTCTAATTGAGCTAAGCGACTAAAACAAAACAAAAAAGCATCCATCATCTATTTAATAAAACAAAAACAATGTAGTTTTCATCTTTAACGGAGTTTTATAATCAACTTAGTGGTCATTTCAGTTGAAAACGATATTATTCTTTAATCGAAGCATTTGCTCAATCGAAAAGAAAACAAATAAAACGTTTAAATTGAATATTATTATTTTTTCTGCACCAATTGGACCTGCTGTCGTGCATCAACAACATCTAATTGTAATATACCCATCAAACATAAATAACATTGATCCTAATTAAAAATAAAAATAAAACAACAATTAAAGATTTATATAAAAATCATTCATCAAATCAACAAACAGTCAATGGTGTAATAACGAGACGATCTGATACATCAAGATATTCGTATGCATCAATATATTGTGCATTGGTCATTGGAATCAGAATTAAATCTTATTCAAAACTTCCTCTACTAACATATTCTAGAAAATAGAAAAAGTAAATGTTATTTTGAATAGAAAAAACATTTCAAATATATATTTTTGACAAACCTCAATTTGAACCATTTCAAAAAACAAATCATATCACGGGGCATATACATAAATAGTAATTAATATTAGACAAATATCACGAACAAGCTAAATAAAATAAAAAACGATTATTTCTGAATGAAACAAGAAACAGATCATTCAGTTTATTACTTGTAGTAATTCTTGATGAATGAGCGCAACTAATTTATTTTAATCGTGATAAATTTTTCGTTCAAAATCTTGAAAAGATTGACATTGTAGCTTATTGAGAGTAACATTTTTGTACATAACTTCAATCAGGACGTAATCGTTCTAACGAATTAGATTTATATGCAATCAAATATTTTTAATACTGTCAAACCATTAAATATCTCTAATATTTTAAGTATTAATTTATCAAATACTTGTCGAATACTTGCTTCCGATATTGTGGGGTGTGGGTGTGGGTGTTCTTTTAAACAATACTCATACTCACAATCACAATCACACCCACACCCACCCACCCAAGTTGAGTCATGCCTTTCTTTGTTCTGTACATTAGTCAATCAAAAGCATGACTTCATAGTCATTTTGTCAACAAAAATTGATTCATATTTACTGTATCTAAATATTGATTTCGATATGTTTGCTGGGAAGTTGGAAAATACCGATTTCTTTGAATGTTTGCACAAGAAATATACAACAAAGCTGGGAATCGGGTAGGCAGAACAAAGGTGAACTTCAAACTAATCCCCTGTCAGCTTTCCAAGTAGAATGTTAATGAATATGAATCACTTGTTTCACTCACACTCTAAAATCTATCGGTCTGTTGGAGTGTAGGTGCCTTCAAAGTAAATAATTACCCATACCTACATCCTCAAGTTACAAGTAAAATACATATAACAAGAATACATTTTTAAATCCATTTTCTCTTGAAACTAACGAAATTTATTCAGAGTCAAAAAAAAATATCGTTCTCATCGTTTGTCACTGGTATGACTGGTGGAACAGGATTTAAACTGCGTCGCAAACAAAAAGCCAGAAAAAAAGTAGTCCAAGCAAGACAAGTTGCAGTTAAATAGGGAGGTATACAATAGATATAGAGTCGAATAAGTAACAACGAGAATTTCATAAGAAGAAAAATGGCAATATAATATACTGATAGAACAGTGGGCGTTTCAGACATTTCAAGAAGGTCAAGTTTGAAAAACGGATATGCTGATTGGTAACAAATGCTGACGAGGCTAACAAAAATAATGATTGTTGTATCATGAAACGTTTGAAATAAGACAGGTAGACCGAAAGTCAGCAGACCACTGTATACAAGGATTTGGGTACATGCTAAGTAAACGGATGCTTTCATTCTCTGTAAAATTGTTGCTGAAATGGAAATGATTAAAAATGTGACAACAGAAACAAAACCTATGTAAAACAGCATAATTAAGATGTGCGGTACTGTTTTCGGATTTCGTAGTAGTAAAAGGAACATCGAAGATAGACGGTAAAGCAAACTACCTTGGCGAGATTCGAAAACACGTTGGAGTCCAGGAAGACTAATTGTTGGTGGATTTGCTATTTCTTCCATAGATCGTTGGTACCATGCAAGAAGCAAATTTCTACCAGTCGTTATCTCCCCAGTGGCAGTCGTATTATTGACTCCATTTTCTGTATCCCGAAGTTGTGGTAACAGTCGGCTAAGCATCTGCTCGAGACATGCTTGAGAGTGACTTTCGAACAATGTCCGCTCTACAGCACATTCACACCAATTACATTTCAGAACTGTAGGTTGGCACAATAATTGATGTTCATCGATCTGATTTACGAGCACGAGTTCTTCACATGTAGTGCATCGTTTAGTTCGAAATATGCAAGCGACGTGTTCGTGCTGTTCCAAGGAATCATACGACAGAATTTGTGTACAACCAAATGAAGTATTACGACAGCGAATACGTAAACGGCCGACAATGGATTGAATATGTGGAGGAGCTCGATTGATTTCGAATGGAGTGCAGCGAAACGGGCACGTAGTTGGATTTATTTCAAGGCACTTCTGAATGCACTTACAGCAAAATAGATTTTGACAAGAAGAACAGCTGACTGGTTTCCATAGAAGACAATGACAAATTGGACAGAAATATTCATTCGGTACAAGAAAGTCATCGTTGACGATACGCTCTCGGTCGATGTAGCTTTCGTCTGAATCCATGATCAATGAACAGTCTACAATGAATAATAGAATTTATATTACGAAATTAGTCATGCAACCGGTTGGATATCAGTATGTACGAATTCCATTCCGCTTTGTCCCTATTGAACTGGACTCATGCGCACAGAATCTAGTTTATGTCGATTATATCGAACTGTAATGTCTTATTATTGACGTATACTACTCTATCAAAACAAAATATTTACTGAATAGAAAAGCACTAGTAATCGAAGAGGCAATAATAAGATAATCATAGTATATTCCGTTCAAAACTATATTACTTATCAATAGTATAGAAGTACTCGACTGAGAAGATCATTATGAATTGAAAAAAGAAAAATACTAACCATCTAACTATATAAAGATTAGTCAACTGATACTAGTGCGTCATTAATTCGGAAAAAACCTTCAGCGATTGCCAATGATTAATTACTTCTCAGTGAATTAAGCCATTGCATGGTATTGTGAGAATATTATTGTAAAACTCAATAGCGTATTGAGGATGCATCAGTGGGTAGATTTCGAAAAAAAGGAAAGTTCCCAGCTAAATATGCATACTTCAGAAACATTGGTAATTACCACAATATTATTCACCTCTTGCCAAACGAAAATAAAGTCATTTCCTAGAAATTTCGGAGATTACTTACGTATGTTGTATAACAAATATAACCAAAAAATCTCGAAAGTAAATTAACGGCAAATTTCTTTTTGTATTTGAAACTGATTTCGGAATTTCCCGAAATTTTTCTTGTAAAGTATCTGACTATCCGGTATTTTCTTGTAATTTTCTATAGAATGTAGTATCATATACGAAAAGTTTTGTTGGCACTCTTGTATGTCTTTTTATAGAGAAAGAGAGAGAAATTAGTTACTTTGTGAAATTTACTTTTTTGCGTATCTGAACTTAACTCTCACCGAATCGTTTCGCATTATTTTTTTTAAACACTCATCACAGCATTGGATTAGTGAAGCATGAAATTTTGGAAGAGTAGCAAAGTCACAAAATAAGAAAAAAGATAAATAAAAAACATGATGTACGAACGGAAAAAACGAGTGACAAAAAAGGAAGAAAAAGAAAGAATCTTAACGAATGATTGATTTAACTTATCAATAATTAATATCTTTTTTATTTTGTAAACGACAACTTTATATAGGAGCAAACTAGGAAAAAACCTAAGGACGCTTGGAAAAAAATATATGTTGATATGAAAAATATCCATACAATAGGCAACATGACAAAAAAAAGGAAATGACAATATTACACATATATATGTATGAATCATAGTAGCACAGGAGAACAAGAGAGAGGGTGGGGAGGGGGGCGATAATCAAAAGAAAAAAATAATAACTTGAAGAAAGATGAACTAATAGTTGAATCAACTTTCAGTAATGTAGCCAATACATTCTTTTAGATAATATCTGATTGAGCAGTTGAAATAGCTAAAAATCAGACGCTTGTTGGTTAGGTATTTGATCTTCCTATCTTTTTGTTAATTTTTAAATTATGTCACTATTTACTCTGTCGGAAAATATGCTTGGGATATGTCAACTATAACAGAAGAAGCGCAACAGAATTGATTAGCTAATTCAGTGATCATTAGAGACCTGCGGGGAACTCCGACCCCGTCGGAGTCGGAGTCAGGATTATAACTATGTCTGACGAAATTTCGCTATTTTATATAACAATATCTTTATCTTTCATATTATAAGAGGCAAAAAAGAAAGGTATCACTTATTTCTTACATTGAAAATGAGTTTCAGGACAAATAAGAACAAATGGGTCATCTTGCAGCTACAAAATTCGAAAGATCAACTTAATAAAAATATATGAATCACGAAATATTTCAGCATCATCGAAAGTATTATAATTGTCGTCATCATCAAATTTCGATTGCTGGGGCATAATAGATATCTATATCGAATCTGCAGATGAGGCTATGACTGTTTGTGACATTGAAACGGTTCTGTTTCTTCTATTCTCACAAAAGAGCTCTTTCAACAAAGTTACATTTTTTGTTAAAATAACTTTTGGTTGATTTTTTCGGAACATAAGTTGGTTCTTTTTTCCGATGTAGTATTCTTTGAAGCTGAAAATAATCTTTCGACTATTGTATCACAGGTCACCCGTTTCAATAATAAAATTTCGGAGTTTTTCGAAGTTTTCCGGAGTCGGAGTTGGACTTCAGATGTTTTTGGTAGATCCTGCCCTTTTCACTGAGTTTTATACATCACTCTGATTGTGTAAAACTGAGTTTCTTCAATAATTTCGGAGAATCGAGCTAGGTCTATGATTCACTATTGACCATACAGAAATAAAAACCGAGAGAAAGATTATTCAATTGTACGAGCACGCTTTCGGCCATAAGGAAGCATGTGATGCCTTATACGACTTTTCGAGAAATCGATTATGACCATTACGACGTGTTGGTAATAAGTAGACCTACGACAGTTCCATATTAGTTCCGATCTTTGGAACTGTGTCACAAGTTCTTTGATCGGAACTGAACTGTTCGAACAGTTCCTCGGTAGGAACTGAACTGTGTCCAACAGTTCATCGGTAGGAACTGAACTGTTCGAACAGTTCTTTGATCGGAACTGATCTGTGTCATACAGTTCTTTGGTTGGAACTGAACTGTGTCATACAGTTCTTTGGTTGGAACTGAACTGTTCGAGCAGTTCTTTGATCGGAACTGATCTGCTCGAACAGTTCTTTGATCGGAACAGATCATCAGATCTGAACTAAAACAGAACTGTCACACCCGTAGTCCGTTAAAAAGTTTATTTTCAAACAATATGCGCATTACTTGGAAACACACTACATCCTAGATTCATGATAGAATCGAAACTTTCCTTCGATTGTAGATTTTGTGAAAGTCACACATACGTATGTATCGATGTTGTGGCGAAATTATTATTTTCAGGAACTCTACTGTTTCCAGCACAGGGACACAAACCCCCATTGCGTAAAAATCACATGTTGTCTCTTAAATATGTAAAGAGGGTGCTCTGTACAATGAGAAAGTTCGTATGTGTGTATAATCATTCTCGTTGGGTCAACCCTACTTTTTCTGCATGAAACAGAATTCTAAGCATCTTTTGTTATGAACCCAACGCCACTTATCTTTGAGGAAAATCACCCCACAGTTCGACCTGAACACTATCGAAAAATTCACTAAGACACAGAAAATCTTTCAGATAACCATTCTCGTTGGGTCAAACCTACTTTTTCTGCATGAAACAGAATTCTAAGCATCTTTTGTTATGAACCCAACGCCACTTATCTTTGAGGAAAATCACCCCACAGCTCGACCTGGACACTATCAAACAATTCACTAAGACACAGTTCCTGAAAAGTAACTGTTTCGCGGGCACAGTTCCTGAAAAGTAACTGTTTCGTGGGCACAGTTCCTGAAAAGAAACTGTTCCGTAGGCACAGTTCCTGAAAAGTAACTGTTCCGTGGGCACAGTTCCTGAAAAATAACTGTTCGGGTTGACACAGTTCCCGGCCAAGAACTGTTCGGGTGGACACAGTTCCCGGGTAGGAACTGTTCGGAGGATCTGGTTCCTGGGCAGGAACTGTTCAGGGGATCTGGGTTCCCGACAGAGAACTGTGTATTCACTACAGTTCCTGGAAAGGAACTGTGTGTTGGATACAGTTCTTCGAAAAGATTCGGTTCAAAGAACCGAGAGCTGTCGTAGGTCTAGTAATAAGAATAATTACCCAATCGTACGCGCACCTTTCTCTATATGATATCAGTTTTACTGAACGAATTGTTAGCGGTTTGGTCTGGTTAGTGAATTCGGATAGAACAAAAATACAATGACTTTTGTCGACTGTACAAGCAACCACAAAGTTCAATTTGTTTTGTATTGCTATAAAAACTGCAGAGACAGAAATGGATTACTCAAAAACTACGTGATTCGAAGATTTACCGGTAGAAATTTTGATGAAAATCTTTATTTATTTTACAGCTGATGAGATCTATTGATTTTTCTCACAATTAAATAATCGTCTTAATTTAATTCTCAAATCATTACCAAACTTGGATCTTCTAACGAACAAATATTTCAATCCTTCTGTTCTTTCTTTGTTCTACTCATGTAATAAAATTTTTACCAGGTTTAATGGCTCATTTATGAGATGTAGCTGTCAATCCAATTTTATAAACGGTAGTAATTGTTTGTTTGAAATTTATCTAGCATGGGATAATGAAAGGTATTTTAATTACTTGAATCATATTGAAAACATAATTCGTCCTGATATTTGTTCTCGATTACAATCATTAGTTTTACCAGCTACTTCACCTGAACTAACACAACTCATATTTCGTGATGAATTTCCTTGTTTAAGAATCTGTCATCTTGGTCAATACAAACCACTCAATCTTCCATTAACGATGCCTATTCAACAGCGAAGTTTCAGTCAATTAAGTATACGAGAGCAAAATGGTTATGATTTAAAAACGATTTTATTCATTTGGTCTATCTTGATTTCTCCTGTCATAATGAGATTCCTCCATTTATTTTCAGCGCTGGTTGCTTTCCATCTATGAAATGTCTTCGACTTGATTGCCTTGAAAATTTCATTTTTCACAGTGGTCAATTCGATTTCACTGCTGATCAATGTCGTGAACACGTTAAAATAATCAAATTCAGGGAAATTGTGGATTATCTACGCTATCGATGTCCATTATTAGAAATAGTATCTATATGCAAGGATGTATGCGTTCTTCTGATTCTATAGGTAGTTTAAAGGAAATTACCGAGATGCATTATCTTTTCAAGTAATTACTTTGTCACACTGAAAATCCAGGATGCTCGAAACATATCTTCCAACATGTTTTCTTCTATTAATTCTATCAGTTTATATTTAGAATCGGCGGATACAAGCTACACAAAGCTAACACTTGTATCAAAAGTATGAAAATTTTTCCTATTTTACAGTTCAAGAAAATAAGAATTGGTTGCTCTCTAGTTTCACTGGATTGTATTGAGTTAGT